GGTTGAAAATTTAATGAGAACTGAAGTAAAAAGTGCTCAGAGAATAGAAAGGAGGATCACCTTACCCGAACTGGGTAGGTTTGGGTACAGGAAGGATCAGGAAAATTTATCTGGAATAAGTGAAGTATAAATTAGGATTTAAGGAATAAAGGGAATAAAACCAATTAGGTTGATAGGAAGGGATAAGGATGAAAAAAAATGCATAACAGGCATTGGAGAAGCAGGTGCATCATGTACTTGTGGCACAACCTGGGGCTAAAAACACAACAGTTTGGCTATAGTTGCAAGTGTGAGAGCAAGTGGCTATGAAATAAGAAGTCAGTCCATAAGGTATCTTATAAACACACCGAGGAGCTAGGTTTATATCCTAAAGCAAAGGGGAGAGGGTAATTTTGGAGGACCTGAAGTCACTCTTGGTAGCACCAGTGAGAACAACAGGGACAAAATTGGGAAAACAAAGTTAAATGGTTCTACAAGACCCTGGTCAGAGATGACACTAGGTCTTCTGAACCAAGACAGTAGTAAAGGAAACAGATATGTAGGAGATAGAATGGACAGGTGTAGGGAGTTGCCTGGAGATGTAGGGTATATGTCTAAGATTTAAGACAATTCTTACCACATAAGAGATGATCAGTAAATATTTCTTGATTAAAAACTTGATATCTTACAAATGAACATCCAGATGATGTAACTGAGAACATAAGATGCATGGCAACACTGGCTAAAGTAGGACATCTTGATCATTGGGTTAAAAAAAAGTTAAAATTAAGGATAAACATTTTTAAATTAAATGTTTTTATAGTTCCCTTTACCTATGATTTGCAATAAATTTCCCAAAGAATTGCTACATGCACCTCAATATACCATTTCAAAATACGCAGTCTAGAAAAGAGCTTTCATAGTTTCTTTTTATTTTACTTATCAAATTACATCTTCTTCATGACAACAATAATCAGAAAACTGAAGCAATTTCAATTAGATAAACATGATGTGATCTCTTTTTAAATCCATTTTGAAATGATTTATCCTACTGTGGGTCATAGAAATATAATTGACTTGACTATGTTTAAAATCATCCTAAATTCTGAATATTTTTAATTAGCCATGTATTCTAGTAATGCTAACATATAACATCTGTCAAGCTTTAACTGGATGGTTAGCATATCATGTAGAGCTTTCATTTAATATTCAAAAAATACTGTGAGAATGGTCCTATTAGTCATTCCAATTTAGAGATGAGCAGTCAGAGGTTTACAATGAATAGTATCTTATCAAAACACAGCCAATAGGTTGTGGAGCCAGGAATTAAGCCCAGCTTTTCTGATTTACCGTTGTTTTCATTGGTAACAACTATTCTAAACTGTAGCCTCTATGTTTTTAGAAGTATTAAGTGATTTACATTAGATATTTGATACTATTTTGATGTCCTTTTAATATGTGGCAGGACTTTTTTTAATAACCACAAAAGAGAACACACATCTCCTTTGATACCACATTTTTTGGAAGACAGACTGTATTAGTACATGCAACAAGCCAGAGATTTCAGGTAGACCAAACCCAGAGAGAGAATGTGTAGAAATTGGAAAACCTGAGTCATGGGTTGCATAGAAATATAGGTGATTCAGCATCATTTTGTAAAACATATAACTCACTTTGAAAAATCCAGGGATTCTCAAAAGAAACCATCACACCCACAGGCTCTAGCTGAGGTATTTTTGAACGTGCAGTCTATCAGTATTCATTCTTTTAACCTTTATACTTCAGGGAGAAAAGAATGTGCTTGTTGCTTGGTAATATTTTGTATAGCGTTCAGCCCTGGGTTGAGATTTCAGTTGTACTACACCCAAGTTCCCAGATTTCAAGAAGGAAGTTTTGGCAACTCCTTTATTGTTTTTCAATAAAATCCCTAGGCCTTCAGTTATTTTATCATTTAAATATGATTAAGAACCTATTGTTTATGTCATATAGTTTTCTATTGTTTACATGGAATGACACTGAAGAACTACCAGTCTGTTCAATTTTGAGTTATTTTACCAGTCATGGCTTTACATTTATCCTTGGGAAGAATTTATATGGAGTGTAATGGATATAAAAGAAAAGAAGAAAGAACTCTTCTGGAAGACAATATACATGTAAGCTCAATAAACAAAGTCAAGCATGTTCTTTGGAAAAATAATTATTTAACGTTGTAGAATGGCATGACTCAGCTTTTGCAATACTGAGGACTTACCCCTTTAAGACCAGGTATCTTGAGCCAGCTCTTCTTGCTTGTAGTAACAAAACTATACCATTCTTTAAAATAATTTTCTGGAACTGAGCATTCCAGAACAATTAACTAACAGCAGGGTCTTGTTAAATTTGTAAAAACAAGTTGGAAATTCCTTTAGAAATCAATGCCTTAAGGGTGCTTCCTAGAGTGTTTGTATGCATTGCTGTTAATTAAGAAATAAAAGAATGGTATCAAATGTAAATAGAATACACACACTACTCCCTGGTTCATTGCAGAGTTGCAAAATGAGCATGCAATTACTTCAATTCCAGATTGCTAGGAAATATTTTTTTTTAATTTTATACCCATGGCTGGTATAAGTGTATAGTTTAGTAAGCTAAAGTATGAGGTTGAAATTAGTATCATTTAGGGGTATACTAAAATAACTAAAGAAAAATCAACATCTAATGATTCTTTTAAAATCTTTTTTTTAATTTTTTCTAATTTCAACAGTAAGAATTCAGTATGTGATCAAGTTATCAACATAGGGTAATTGTCAACTTAGTGATTATCACTGTGTGGTTTTTATTGTGACTAGTGTAGATTCCAGAAGGCCTTAATTCTACAGAAAGAAAGTCTGTGCTGTTGGAAACAGAAAATTGTTCTATATCAATTTTCTCTTGGTGCTAGAGGTAACCCTGCATGTGAGAGCAAAAACAAGAGATGAAAGAGGGAGAAGAAAAGTCAGTAGCAAGGAGAAGTGAAAGGAGGGAAAAATGACACTAACACTGCAGAGTAATTGAGCTAAAAAAAATTTAAATAAATAAAATTTAAAAAGAAAGAAGAGAAAATTGAAAAGACTGAAAAGACAAAAAAGGGAGAAAATAAGCTTAAAGATAAGAAAAAAAGAATTTTCAAATTGATTTTCCAGAGATAAACTTGCTCATAGTATAAAAGAGCTTCAAAACTTAAAATATTTGACTCTTCTGGAAAATAATAATGAAATGAAAACTCTGATGTATTTTTGAAACAGAAATACTCAACTTCTGGTATCAAATCACTTGCTTTAGGCACTCTGTGTTATTTTACAAACCTTCTTCGAAAGTCTCAGATACTGTAATAATTTTAATGCATCATATATTCACTCCCTACAAAATTATTGACACTGACAATGTGCATTTAGCATTTTCAACAGCTGATTTCTTTTTGAAAACAAAAAAGTTATATAAGAAAAGCTATCTCTATTATTTCTGAATATCCAATCAGGGAAAAATTGATCAATTACAATTAATATAGTCAAATAGCACTATACTGATCATAATACTTTGCTCATATTTGGTTATACAATAAATGTGATTAAATAATAATGATTTTCCAGTTAAATGTAAAATACACATTCAAGTTTTCATCTAGCCATATGACAAATTCACTTTGAAAATAATTAAATGTTAAGAATTACATAGATTTGATTAAATACTCTATCTCATTCTTTGGATATTCAGTGTCCTCTTAAACTCTAAAATAAGAGCTAATTTAGTTTTGTAAGAATTCTTACAATGAAAACTACATAATTATTGGGCAAAGTTGCTGTTTTAAGTCACATAAAACCCAGTTCCATGATTGTTGATTTAGTCCTCCGTGTGTCCAACTAAACTATAATCTCCTTGAAAGTGAGAAATAGATGTTATTTGCTCTAGAATACCAACGTGTAGTGTAACTTTTGGTACTCAATAGGTACTTGATGAATGTTTGATGAAAGAATTTATTTTATAGCTTGAGTCAATTATTTTTAAAAACTCTACACTTCTGCATACTTAAATTGCCAATTCCATCTGTATGAACAGTGAAGGAAAATACCCAATGCTTAAAATTTTTGCCCAACCTACAAAGAATTTAAAAAGACTTGGTAAAATATAAAAAGACTTATGAAGTGAGACTGGCTCCCGAAAGTGAAATCTCCCCATTTAAACTACTTTGGTCCAGTGAGATCAGCTGGAGTAAGAAGAAAGGAATAACAAAGAGGAGGGGAAAGCACTCTATATGCCTGGAATTTGGTACAAGCTCTGTTTCCATTTAAGTGTCCCACAGGGCTGTCCCTCTGGAAACCATTGATAGTTCAGTGGCATAACCCATTTTCAGACTCTGTGCCTTATAGAATATTAGGCAGATGAATATATGGATAACAAGCATTGTTTCTACTTGTTTCTAGCATTTATTTTCCTTCTTTTCTGCAGGCTTTTGGACAAGTAAAACTTGTCTGACCTTAACAGAAAGAAATGTATATATGAGAAATATTCTTGCATGTAATCATTCTATTCTTCTGGAATAGCTAAGCCTTGTGGAGTCTGAATCTACTACTATTTAATATACATATATTAGTAAATATATGAATATATAACTAATACACTATATTAATATACTCATTACATTAATTATATGTTAATACATTATATATTTATATACACTAATATATATTCATTTATTTATATATATTTACAGTCAAAGATAAAACCTTATTGAGGAAAAAAGAACGTTACCTGTGGGCAGATTTTCCTTCGAACAAAAAGGGAATCCTTGTAAAGCAAAAAACTCCTTGCCATTTGCAAGTATTGAAATGTTTTGCCTTGATCACCATGTATTTAGTTGTATACCTCTCTATTCCCTGAGGTATACATTATTGATTATTCTGCACAAATAACAGTGTTGCTACACACTTACATTCATTAAGAGAGAAAGGTTTATTTGCACTCTCATTTTAATATGTAAATTGTAAATAATCAGAAGGACTTACCTTGAAGAAAGTCATGGTTGCACCATCCTCCACTGTACCATACTCTATCTTGGTTTGTTTAGCTAAATCATCAGCAGAGTCAATAGGGGATTCCATGCGTTCCACTGTCAGAAAGGCGGCTAAGTTAGCAGTATACGAAGAAATGATGATAAGTGTGAAAAACCACCAAATGCCTCCCACTATCCTGGTGGAGAGCGCTTTGGGCATGAGCTCAGAACCTAACAGAGATTGGGGAGGGAGGGGAAAGGTGAAACGAATACAGAGAATTTGATCAGCAGTCAGATACTTTTGGTCACAGTGGCAGAATGGAATCACTGTGTCGTAAAAGCTTAAATCATAGGTTCACATATTGCTTTAGTAAGCAAGCAACAACCATTGGGAGAGCAGAGGCTAATTTCAGATAATAAAAAACAGTCTCTTGAGACACTTTAAGTATAGTGGCAGGAGACTCAAGTTCTACCTGAGACAGTATAAATTAATTAGTAATAACATTTACAAAAATAACATTAGAAGGGAGAAAAAAATCTCTCTAGTTTATAACCTACTTGTATAATTTTTCATATTCTTGTTAGTTACTTCAATTTTAGAAGAAATGGTTTAACATATGTTCAAATCCATTTCTTAACAAGCTTTACGTAAAGTTTCATTTTTCATGTACATGAAAGCTCATAAATTTTGTCTATCTTGCCATTTTAAAAAGTTATGTTTTACAAAAATACATTTCAATTACCTACATTCCTTGAGATACAGGGTTTTAGTCCAGGTTTGTTTTAAAATAAGGTAGTAAATTATTTCCTTTTGTATAAACAAATGTCTCCCATCACTATAGTTAGCCTCAATGAGAGAATCAGAATAAGAGTAAAGAGTTAAATTGTCACATTTATTTTTACATATATACAAATATTTCATAAATATATTACAAACATGGCTGGAGTTGCCTGCTCATGGTATTAGTAAGAGAATGGGATCCGAGAATTCTATTTTACTTTTGATTATTATTAATTTTAATTAATTTAGAATATAAAATAAAATCCTAACAATTTTAAAATCAAGTCTTACAGTTTTAGCACATTGTTTACATTAAACACACTATTTACAGTCTTAATGTTAAAATGAATACATATCAGCATGTGTGATTTTTTTATAAGAGAAGTATACTAAATTTATGGATTTATGTAATATATTACTATACAATTTTAATCATTTTGAATCTATAATCAAGAAAGCACTGATTACAAATTACTTAATTTTTAAAGGGTTTGAGTAAAATGGAATGAAGCAAAGATGGACTGCTTTTGCTGATTTGTTTTATAGTCATGTCTTTAACATAATCACTGATGCAATAACGTTAACACATCTTTAGACGGAAAGAAAACTACAATCATTCATGTTAACATTGAAGAGAAGTGGTATCTCTTCAATGTTAACTGAATGTGAAGAGAACTGAAATATATCAAAACAGCCCACCTTACACTGCAGTTCATCTTACTCCTGTAATTTCAAACAAACAAACAAAATTTTAAAAAGCAGACAGACTTGGACATGACAGCCAACTCCAGCTCCAGACTCTGCCTACCACTCTGTGAGGAAAATAAAACAAAAAACAAAACAAAACAGAAAAGTACCTTTCTGATGTAGTTGCTCCTAGGCCCTGTCAGACACACTCGAACACTGTAATACTAAAATACTCCCAAGATGATCAGCGGCAGCTTTGGCTGCCCGTTCTACTTTTTTTTTTTTTTTTTTTTTAAACACCACCACCAATAAGTCAACCAAGACTGGGAAAGAAAAGAACAGTGGAGACATTCGACAAAAATGGCCCAATTACCACAAGTTCATATCTTACCCAAGGACTTAAAGCAAGTACCTCCTAGGCTTGTGAATCAGAGCCTGGTTAGGGGCTGACTGTCATGTACTCAAGGTAACGTCATGTCCAGCACTATATCCCACTAATTCCTGGGGAGCTGGGCATCAGCCAGTTTAGTATGGGTTCCTCTTTCATGTATCCACCAGCAGTGAAGTAGTTATGTGGCAAAGCAAATGTATATTTGAATTTTTCATTCCTTGGATCACTTGTCATCAATTTCAGAGATATCAAATATTGTCTTATTTCTAACTGATAGATTGTATAGATATCAAGGTAATCTTATCAGTAAACAAATCTCAAAATCCTCCAAATATTTTAGAAAATAGAAATGAAAAAAAGAATTTTATTTTTTAAAGTAGTAGCAAACATAATTTTGAAAAATCTTTGTTATGTTTGGGTCTTATTATCAGGATAATTTACTGCAGACTGTTAAAGTTAGTTATCAGCACGTAACTAGCAGTTTGCCTGGGTGAACCGTATTGCCCAATACTGCTTGTAAGAGATGTCTGTCTCCTATGACAGGCTTTTATTCACTTCTAATATTTCCTAAGAACTCCAGTATTGTCTTCCAAGTGTTGAGTAAGTCTAAGGAAAAAAAAAACATTGGACCCAAAATGTAGGAAAGGGAAAATATAACTGTTGACTATTCATTTTATTTAGAAATAGATGCCACAAACTTAGATTAGTTCATGTAAGAGTTCTCTGATTTCTCAAGTTTTAGGTTTAAAATATTTATAAAGCTATATATATGGATGCTCATATTTTTATTTTTTAAATTTTTTTAAAGATTTATCTATTTATTTGAGAAAGAGAGAGCGTGCACAGACGCGCAAGTAGGGGAAGGGGCAGGAGAGGGAGAGAAGAAGACTTCCTACTGAGCGCAGAACCCACACAGGGCTGGATCTCACCATCCTGAGATCATGACCTGAGTGGAAATCAAGAGTCAGATGCCTAACTGACTGAGCTACCCAGGCGCCCTGGATGCTCATATTTTTAAAAGAAAAAATTTATTTCAACTTGATAGGCCTTTCTTACAACATGTATTTGTTAAATTAATTTTTTGATATGTAGCTATTTATTCTCACCTTAGGAAATAGTTTATAAAGCAACAGTAATGAATTAATAGATCTATGCATAAGATTAAACATGCAAGAACAAAGTACCTTTTTATAAACAGCCTTTTATAATTTAACCATAAATTTTCACCTCTTCAGATCTGTAATGCAATTACCAAAATAATTTCTTCAAAGTGGATAATAAGTACACAACTAAATCTTAAGGTAAACTCTGATAATAGGTGTGGTAACTCTCATGAAGGAGTACATTTTTCTCCCTAATCCAGTCATTGTCACTTGTTCAAATTTGGGGTATTTTGCTTTATTTGCTAATTCTAAAACTTAAAAACATTACATTTTTAAAGCATAAAATAGTCTTAGATCCTGGCTAATGGAATCTTTTGAATAGAAGGTCTGAAATATCACTTAATTGAACTTTATCTAAATATTAAAAGATTAATTAAAAAAACATAGCAGCAAAAATAAAAATAAATTCCACTTGGGAGAACTGAGACTAAAATAAGGAATTCATAGTTATATATAAACCCTTAAGACATATTGCATGTATTATGTCATTTTCTAAGAAGTATTGCCTTTTACTTTTAGCATTAATATTATAAATTTTAAATAATTATGAAAGTATTTTTGCATGCACATCTGAGCATGCATTATTTTATATTCTTATATGCTATCAGATGCAGCTAATATTTTACTTGTAAAGGAAACTAAATGGTTAAATATTTTAATTTTGTAAATTTATACACAGTAGATTTATTAGTCATGCAACACAAATGCATCTAATCATCAAGAATTGATATAAAATAATTTTTTACATCAAAATGAGTCAGGAAACAGAAGCATTACACTGTATTCCTGTCTCAAGGAGATGTAATCTTAGTAGTACTTTAAATGGATCAGGTTAGCTTGGTTAACTATGAAATAATGTACCTACTGTGGGTTAAGAAAAAAAAAATTAGATGAGTATACTGTATGTGCATTTGCAAAAGCTAGTTATTTTCTCAGAATCTCTCTTGGATGGGATTTGAGAATACCTAAATGCATTAGGTAGATGGAGAAGCTGGATTATGGTTACATGCACAGAGGCACCCATGCAAGCGACTTGAGCTGTCACCCCCAGCAAAGAGTGGGACATGGTGCCCAAGGGAAATAGCAGGCTGAATCGTATACCTTGCTGCATGAGAGCTCCAACTCCAAACCAGAAACTATTTAGCAAGGTAAAATTATTTTCCACCACGTCTGAGTCAGGATTGCAAGGGTGTGGGTTATACCACTCATAGGGACTAAACCTGTGGTAATTGACAGAAGAAAAGAATATATTTAAATGGCAGTGAGAAGAAATTTTATCCAGCATTTTTGCTGCAAAAGAAACAGAAAGACAGGTAAGATTAAGGAGAAACCAGAAATAAGCATTTCTATAGTACAATTTCATATGCACGACAGCAAGTGTGAGGTTTTAAAGATCCCTGTCCTAAGATGATAAATGGCATTTCTTTATTATATACTACTTGTGAGAGGAAAATCTGTATATCAGAAAACCAAGATTATCCTTTAAGACTTAGGTTTTTTCAAGTACAAAATAAAAATAAAAAGTCTAAAAAATCATTAAGGAAGAAAACAAACTTAGTTATGAAATAAACATTTTTAAAACTGTGGAAAAATTGTTAAAGACAGAAGAAACAATATAAAATCAGCTTAAGATTTTTTTATGATATAATAGAAACTACCAAAGTGACAGAGTTTAAAATAATCAGTGAATAATTATATATCTAAGAAAATAGTGCTATGAATTTACATCTTTCTGTGTTAACAAACTCAGCTCTAAACAGAAAACCAAATCAGAGTGAACTGCATTCTAATACATGCCTCTGACATAATTATAGGTTTCAGAGGGTATGGAAATATTCATGATATCAAAGCAGTGTTAGAAGCAGGAATACATATTGAGGCTGATTGGTTTCCACTTATTACTTGGTTTCAAGTCTATTACTTCATTTTGAATCACTGTTTTAAGACAAAGAAAATCGAATCTAATTTTTGAGGCTAGTTCTAGACGGTTTTAGAAATATTGGTAACGTCTCTCAAATAATTCAAACTGAGGAACTGCTAACTTGTACACATAAAGTAATTTATTCTAATTATAATCCAGATATATTTATTAATTAATGGTACTATCCAAAAATATCACCACCATAATTAAAAATACTTCGTCTAATTACTAAACTAACAAAATATTTTCCCTAATATCTCAAATTTTAAAGCCACTCTTTTATAAACCAAATTAGCATGCATGCCCTTTATGAAAGCGTTAAAAAATCTTACATTCAATCAAAGTTATTTGAATAATGTATCTGTCACTTCAGAGAGCCCAATTTCCTTCACAATAATCTTTTACATATTAAAATTCAGAGGATCAAACAAACCATTTTCATCTTTCTAATGCAATTTTAGAACAGCCCTGTTTAATAGCCTACCCTTGACAAACAAAGAAATGTTTTGTTTGGTTCTCCAAGTTAAACTGATACACTGAACAGAACGGTTGACTGGATAGTAATTAAACGTTCTGATCTGATTTGTTGTGTCTGACGCAACAGGAGAGCTGGCTTTGGTTGTAGATATTTTATTTTTATTTAAATTCCCTTATTACTTTTACCCTAGTGAAAATAATTATATACATCTTTAAAAGTATTTCCAAGTATCAGAATGGTAGCCATCAATGTTCACACAATAGTATCTTCTTTCAAATATTACCCATTTTAATTAACTATCCAAAGAATGCATTGCTCGTCAGAGACAACGTGATCTTGCCGTTATCACCCAGCTCCACACCCTTGACAAATTGCATAACCTCCCTGTACTGTGTCCTTATCTGAAAAAGAAAGACAGTGGTAAGACCTAACTTTTCTAGGTGCTGTAAGGACTGCATAAGTTAATAGTGCTGGCAGACAGCAATCATTCAATAATTTGACACAATGGTATTATTGAATATTGTTAAATGTTGTGACTTTGCCTGTAGTTATATACTCATACTTCTATTTTTATTTCTTAATAATTAAACCATTCTTTCCCTACTCCTGCAAGTTTGTTAGCATACACACAGAGCTGGTCTGTAAAGGTGGGTTTAGTGTTCTCACATGGCAGATTATAGAAACAGAGTGAGAACACATAATTTGACTGATTGACATCCCTAGTTTCACATAGAATTCCATGAGCCACTGAGTTTTATATAGGTACTTAAAAGGATGCCATGAAAGGATGGACGAGCAATGGGGTGGCAGGGATTGGAGAAGTGGAAATAAAAATATGCAACATTCTGTCCTCCCATCCCAAATTTATATATACATTTTTTAATTCTGAGAAGGAAAGAAGGAAGGAAGGTGGGAAGGAAGGAAAGAGGAAAAGAAGAAATGAGAAAATAAAAGGAGTTAGGGAGGAGGAATCTGGAAATGATGGCACTGATTTCAACGGACTAATATCTACTTCAATGAGGGAGTCTCACATAGTTTATTTGAAAGAGGGAAAAACTTATGATAAACTAATAATTAAATTTGAATTATGTGCACTTCTCACATCGTCCACTTCCTTCCTCTGCTTTTTCCCTTAGGATGGACAAAGTCCCCAAAAGATGCAAATCTAGCCAAGAAAAACGCTGTCTAACTTGAATTTACAATTTGCTCCTCATGGTGACCCCGAGGAAGCTTTTCCTCAGTCTCCATTTGATTCATTAGCATATACTAATGGTGGATCCTAATGTAAATCACTCCTTTCCTCTTTAAACCCCTACTCCCAAACAACACCCTCACCCCGAAACACACACACACATTCATGCTCACTCCCTCACTCACTCACTGGCCTTGCACTGCTTAGTCTGTGGTCAGCTTTATCTCCTTCACATTTAAATAACACAGCTCTGATTCTAGTTTCATTCTCTATTATTTTCTAAATTAAATTACCTCTCACCTCTAAGAGTAATTGCCATGCTCAATTCTATCCTCTCTATTTTCAACAGGTCTTGTTTCAGTATCTGTCGCTACCTTCCAACTCCTTCAGATTCAATTTTAAAAATTCTATTGGCCCCCGTAATATTTTTTCTGTTCATAAAATATATTTCAGCCCCCTTAAGTCTATATATTTAACCCTAATCACTCTCTTGACCTGATGTGAATTCCCAATAGTCTGACAGTAGACTTTTCAATATTAATATGCCCAATGTGAACGTGCAATCTTTCTCCTAATCCTGCCCTCTTACTGTCTTTTCCATCTCTGTCGAATAGCATCACCTGGAAGCATCCCTCAGTTAAAAACTGCAGTGGTCCTGTCGATAGCCCTTAGCTCACTCAGCCTTCACACTTTTTGAGTCAACTTCAGTTCTTTACATTCCTTTGCCCCACAACCCTGACCTCCAAACATTTGTCAAATTGTATCAGTCTGCCTCCAGAATGTCCCTTTCATTTCTTGCCTCCCTTTTCCCTGTTCATTTCCACTGGCATTAAGGTTAGTTCAGGTCCTCATTTCCTATAGCAGTTGTCTCCGAACTGGTCTTCCCACTTCTATTCTAAACTTATCATCTTGACATATTGCTTCCCAGTTACTTTTCATGTAGAAAAATTCCCATAATGCCACATCTCTATTAAAAACAAATCTTCAATCATGCCCAGTCTATATACAAAATACCTACACTTTTAAGCATGGAATTCACGATCCTCTACACCATGCTCCAAAATACCACTCCATGATTATGTTCCATTACTTTTTCTCCTAACCCTTGGGCTACTGGCCACTTTACAAAAAAAAAAAAAGAGTCCTATATTGATTTTTAACCATCTCTTTGCTCGTATTATCCTTCAGCCTATAATTCCCTAATCTCCACTCCGTAGATATTTAAATCCTATACCCACCCCTCAATTCCAAAACCGGACCACCATCTAGTTGTAGTTGTCCTGATTCTTTCACGGAGGCCATCTAATGTAGAGACTGGCGATTATCCCTAGGATTCACTGCCCTTCCCTGGTTTTAGCAGGAATATTGCTGTCCAGCTAATAAAACTATACCTCTTATTTTCCCTTGAATGCAACTAAATTTGAGCCACTGGAATTTGAGCAGAAATAATGTGTACAGTTTCTCAAAATTCTCCATAAGGATATTTGCCCTGGACTTTCTTTTCCCTATGCATCTTTTAGGAGATGGTGATGACTAGAGATGTATTAGAAGCCCTATGTTGAGAATGACAGAGCTGTTCCACCAGCCTTGAACTGTACTCCTCTGGACTGTGAAGTAAGAGAGAGACATGTTTTCTGATTCCAAGCACTGGGTTTTTTGTTTTGTTTTGTGGCTATCTTTGTTAAAGAAGCCTAACCAGTATTTGAATGACTTAGGTTACTCTTTCTTTCTTCATGTCTATAGCACTAAGAGCTTCAAGTCATACTTATTGTAGCCTGGCTTCTTCACTGCAAATTAGTACATGTATATCTCCCTTCTTCTATTAGATTGTAAATGAATACATCCAAATACAATTTCTGATTTATCTCGTGTATCTTAGAATATCTAGCACAAAATTTTAAACCTAGTTGGCACATAAAGCATTTTGAATTATTCTGATGCTCCTTCTACTTCTCCTCTCTTTCTTTTTCATTTTCTGGCCATACATATAAAATGATAATCCTATTTTTCCACACCTAATTCCTCCTTAACCCTGAGCTTCCATCCCTATAAAAATATTGTTTTTGAACTCATTGCATTTTTAAATGTCATCTTTTAATTATTTTTCAGGTTCTAATAAAATTATTATTAAACACCAGCCCTATGATACCTTCTTTTTAACTTCTGTGACATGGACTCCTGCTTCTCTACCCTATGCCCCACTAAAGGGAGATCCCTTTTGGCTAAGTCTTGACTCTCAGATCTTTCCTCCATTACTGATGACCTAACACACTCATGGCTTTAGCCTCTGTGCTGATAATTTCAAAACCCTCTCAATTTATAGCCATCAATTCTTACTCAAAGTATTTCCATTCCTACTTAGGCAGCTCATCATTACCTCATACTTCAAAGGCTTTAACATTGAACCCAACAACTTCTCCCATACTAGCTCTCCTTCCCAATGTCTCAATTTCTAAAAAGCATGGCACTTCTCTGAATTCTTGAGGCTTAAAGTTTATCTTTCTTTTAACCTCCTCCTTTTTTTTTTTTAAAGATTTTTTATTTATTTGACAGAGAGAGACACAGCGAGAGAGGGAACACAAGCAGGGGGAGTGGGAGAGGGAGAAGCAGGGTTCCTGTGGAGCAGGGA